ATTTGAGCCACGACAAAAAAGTCCTTTTGGTGGTCCTATAATATCCGATTTAATTAAAACTAAACAATCAAAAATTGCTCCTAATGGCAAATTTGTTTCGTTGTTTCAAGTTGAAATTGGATCTGGAATAGGAAATGGAAAGGGAAAGGGAAAAACAACTGGTCCAACTGGTCCAACTGGTCCACAGTTCATTAATGTAGCTCCTGATATAATTACTACTGAATTTGTTGTAGCCAGTCAGTTTTGCAAAAGATCAGGCTGTGCTAATCGTCAAAATGTTTTTGATTCGAAAAGTTCAAAATCTTTTAGAAGTTCTTTCAGGAAAAGTAATCCAATAAAATATTTGGACGGATCTAGAGTTTCTGGAGAATCTGGTACTGACCTTCTTGCATTTAGTAAATCTGATACTAAATTTCGTACAAACATTATCTTAGCTAACCAGATAAGTGGTTTGCTTCGTACTCAAGCTGCAGTTGAAGGTGTTATGGGACTTGGTGCTAAATCTCAGGTAATTAAGTTAACCATAATTTATGTTATCTTCATATTATCGTTATAGTATTATGTAAATTTTCTAACATTTATAATAATTTCTGTATTTAGATATGGAATCAATTAAAAAGTTCCAGGTTAGATCAAGTTGTTGGAATCGCTCTTCCCTTAGGGAAATGTGATGTTGGTTCAATTGCACTTGGAGGATTAGATACTCGATTTATTAATGGTTTGTAGTAGTAATTATTACCGTTATTAAATATTAGATAATTTATTTAATTTACATAATTCGAAAATTTTTATTGTAGGACCTATGTATAATATATCATTAAATTCTTCAAAATCGACCTATTCAATATCAATTAATGCATTATATGTTGGAGGACTCCCTATTAATTCAACTGTAGTTGATTCAGTTATTGACACTAGAAATGACAGAATTTCTCTTGAAAAGGCTTCTCGTGAATTCTTTAGGCTATTAAAGGCTAAAAAGTCTAAATCTGGTGGATTTGTAGTGCCAAATCCCATTGATGTATCATTTGATGTCATATTGGATGATGATAAAATAGTACAACTTACATTGCCAAATTCTACAATCTGTGATAGTAATACTGGAACAGGAATAGGGGAAGGATCAAAAAATTGTTTATCTATTTTTGATGACAAAAGTGGACCTAAAGGTGAAATTACACTCGGAAGGCCATTTCTTCAGGTAGATACATATATATATATATTTTAAAAAAGTGTAGACTATTAAAGAAATTAAAACAGCAATTTACTTAGAAATTTTGCTAATGTTAAATATTTCTATCATACAATGTATATTAACAGTTATTCATTTTTCTTTTTAAAGAATTTTTACTTTGCGATTGACCTAAAAAATAAACTTATGAAA